TTTTTTTTTTTAATTCAAGTATTTTCATAAATTCTTTAGAAAAATTAATTTTTGGAATTTTTCGCCTCAGTCCCAATTTAAATCAGTCATTTTTGGTTAAATGTCAGAAAATGGTTATGAAAATTCATTGAGTTTTTTGTTTGTTTGTTTGTTTTTTTTTACAAAATTATGTCTTGTCTGCATGCATCTCATCAAATTAGATCATAATAAGACATTTTTTAGTCAAATGTTCAAAAACTTTGAAATAAGAAAAATCAAACGTTTATCTTGTCTGCATGTTTCCTATCAAACAAGAAAATTTTGAAGAAAACTTTTTTTTTTTTTTGCAAAATTTGCATGTCATTTTGGTTCAAATGTTAAAAAAATGATGACAAAAATATATATATATTTTTTTTTTGTAGAGTTTTATCTGTCCTGCACATTTCTTATCAAATTAGAGCATTTGGAGATTTTTTTTAGAAAAAAAAATTGACTGACCACAGTCTTGTCAGGCAATATTAAGTTGTTATTAGACTAGTTTAAGATTTGAAGAGGAAAATGATTGGATCTCTTTATCACTGCCCCTGAACAGGCAGAAAAGACTGGGTTTGAGGAATGAGATGATGAAAGAACAAGTTACAGGACTGGTAGAAGATAAAGAGACAAAATGTTTGATGATGACGTGTTGACAAGAGATTTGTAACAACGTATTGTGTAACAGCTAGCAATGTGTAGTATAAAGTTTGGACTTTACCAAAGTCATTGTGCGGTAATAGTTTCCATTGAGATGTGTCTGAATTTGACGGCAGTGGTGTGGAGTCAGGATGGATGAAGATCTTTAAGACAAAACGTTTGGTGAGATGCAAAACTACACTTTGGTCTGTGGCAATGGACCAAATATACCAGAGAGGGGCAGAGAGAGCATATAAGAAAGAATGACAGGTAGAGACAAGAGAAAACAAGGAAGGAGATGGTGAATAAAGAGCAAGAAAAGGCAAAGTTTACAACAAAATAAGAAGAACCCCAATGAGTCATAGTGCCTTGGTCCGACAATCTGGATGCCCTCATGTACAAGAATCCTCATACAGGAAGTTCTTCACAAGCTTCCCTTTGTGTGGAAATGGAGTTGTGTCAGACTGTGGGTAGAGCCTGCTCTTTACACTCTTTTATAACCAAAGCTACTGGCCTCGGATTTGGAATTAGGTCAGCGACACACAAACAAACTTGTATTCGCCTACATGCTTGCACACCCACCCTAACCACAACATTTCTGTGAAAGATGTGGGTGCCATCATTTGCATTGTAATGCCTTGATACTGTATTGTATGTTTTCTCATCTGTTGAATATGAATAACTGCCTTTTGAAAACGATCTTGAAAGAAGAATCAACAACAGGCGAAGGCCAGAGGAGATTCTCTGGGAAAGTCGACTTCTTTCTGTTCCTGTCGGCTCCACTTCAAAGGGCAGCAAAAGGAGAGTTTAAAGGAGTTATAAACAGTAGAAAAGGAAGACGCTGAAAATCCTCAGCTAGTAGTGTGACGAACGATAGAAAAAAAACAAAGAAAATACAAAAGAGAGAGAGAGAGAAAGAGAGGGAGAGAGAAAGAGAGCTGATGCATGAAGCACAATTACTTTGGAGCCAGGGCTCAAATATTTCTGTGCAGCAATGTCGAGGTCTAACGTCTGAAAGGAGGAAGGACACAGAGACATTCATAAATATCACAAGCAGTGTGGTTGCCTGGTAGTGCTGTGGGAACTGCGGTGCCTTAATCTTCTATGGAATAATGAAAACACCCAGAAGAAGAATGAGTGAGATGGTGGTCAACAAGAACATCTACAGAATGCGCTGCCACTAGCACCACTCCTTCACCTACAGAGATTTGATCCCACCACCCCGCCAGCCAGTCTGCTCGCCCCCTCATCGAGGCAGCAAAACACTTCTGGTGATGCAACCATAGACTGACTGAGCCCTCCCCGGCTCCCAAACAACACAACTCCACAACAGGAGCTGCAACAATACAGCACATCTGGAAGTCAGATTACAGTGATAACTCTGGCAAAGGGGCAAAAAGAGCAGAGAATATGTTGCTCGGTTTTAAATGGGATACCAAGTACAGGATCTCAGCCCAAATCCTGAATAAGTCCTGGAAATAACTTGGAGAAGACCAAAAACAGACTTTGTAAAATACAGGGAAGAAACAGTTCCTCCTCTGCAGTGAGATAAGGCAGGAGGAGATAGGAAGATTATATCAGTTATCTCCTGAAGCAGCTGCACTTGAAAGTTCGGCACCAGAACACACAAACACACTGTGATTGGTCGAACGCTCCACTACTGCAAAAAAGGATTAGCTCTCTCTATGGCAAGACAGAGATGTATTAATAGAAATTCATGTTTTGTTTGCATTGCATAGGCCTTTGTTTCACATGTCCAATGGTTACCGATTTAAAAAACAACAATATTCTGGTGGTAAAAACATGCAGTTATTTTCGGAGCTAAAAAAAGAGAATGTTTTTTCAGAGGGATGACTGGGCATTTCTCAAGTTCATCCAAAGGATTTTGCAAGGATTTCCAAAAGCTCAAGAAGTCAGAAAGCTTTTCAGTAACCATCCTTAAAGAATCTGCACACATTTAGCCAAAAAAAACATAAGACGTGACACAAAGAACAGATGATGACAAGGTCGGTACCCTGTCAGCTTTGATCAACCACTCCAGGTTGTTTGTTCTTGGATAAGTTCTAATACAAACAACTTCACGTCTCACCAAACACACAGAAGTAGCAGAACAACATCCCATAAATCTAGTGTTACACCCATCTCAAGATGAACTAAGCCTCTTTAAGGGTTTGAAATGTGTGGACACCAATTCTAGAGAAACTGTTGCAGAAATGTCTCCTGCAGAGACGTTCGAGAAACAAGTCTACAAACTCACCTTCACCCTCCTCCCATCCCACACCCACGGAGGAATCATGCCCTGTTTTTTTAACATTACCACATCTTCCTTGCAACAAAGTCAACAAACATGCATGGGCTCATACTTGTCTCAATAAAGGACAGTTTTGTTTTGTTTTATCCCTTAACAATGAAGAACGTTTTTGGATCTACCCACATCATGGTGGACGAGCTATTAGACTGAGGTTGTGTACATGAGGGGAAAAAAACAGTTAAAGACGAGCTGGAAGAATAGTGTCATGGCTGTGCTGTGTGAGAGATTACAGCCATGTATAAGGAAGTGAAGGCCGTGAAATTGGCCTGCGAGCAGAAGAGATCAGCCGACACTGGACACTTGGGAAAGTGCTGCTTCTAGCTGTTGCGAGCTGTGAAGAACACAGGCGTGCTGAGGTCATGAATAAACACACAGCCCTGTCCAGAGTTCAGAAGAAAGAGGGGGGACTGGAAACACATCTGCTCTGCCTTTGATCCAAACTTCTGCAGCCCAGCACGCCACTCACCCCTCAGCTGCCCAGTCTCTGCCTGACCAGAAAACAACGACTACAGTCCTAAACACAACTCTCCCTTCCCATTATTTTCTCCTCGGTCTTAGTGCTGAGTCAAAGTTAGAGCCCTTTTTTGTGCACACACGATAAATCTGGTCAAAAACACGGTGAGATGGCACGGTTTCGCAAACTGAGTTGCATTTCTGCAGCGCTTTACACTGTTGTGGATTATAACCACAGACCAACTGGGCAAAGTTCTTTGGCTGCAAAACTGAGTCCCTGTGTCAAAGCATGTACATTTGCATTCTTAAGAGATGCCAAGGCAAATGTGTCTCTCCTAAAGCACAACAATTACATCCCATGTTGGGAGCATGAACAAGAGTAGGAGCAGACGGGGGGTGGGGGGTATGTGAGCACGATGAACTGCATTGTTTAGGATAAGCTAACATTCATAACATCTGCAAAAGTCTTCAAAACCTAGCAGAGATTCTTCTTCTTAATCAGGAAAAGAATGAAGCCGTTTTTACTGCAGATGGCCTTCCTGATGCAACTAAACCTAGGATAAAGAACTGGGATCGAACTTGGAACCTTCTCACACTCACCCCTATTTTTGCAACATGATGCGTCCTCTTATCATCTAAAGCATGTTTTTGTAAAGACTTCATGTCAGACGCACGGCCTGTGTCGGATCAGCTTCACTAAGGACTGTAAAGTTAGTCTACAGCTGACAGGTTGACTGATACAATGGTCAAAAAACAAATTACAATAAACTGAAGATATATATTGATAACAATCAATCAACAGAGTTTTGAAAGTATCTCTCCACAGTTTCCATAAGCCACAGATGCACAGCAATGCCTACAATCCATCAACTTGGTGAATCTACATTTTGACTTATATTTTGTACATTTCTTTCTGTATCAATAATTCCATCATTTGGAGTAGTCTCAAATAAAAAACTGGTCTAAAAAACTTCCAGGCACTCTTATTTATCTATGTCTGTTCAAGCAAGATACAGTCAAAAGTTACATAGTATTCAGGTTGATGATTTTTTGTGTGTGTGTGTGATTAATCAGATTTAATAGTTAGGTGGTTTTATGAGTCATTATTTTTATTTAGTGTCTACGTTCAGCACATTGAAGACACAGCAAATCCAAGAAAAAAAGAGAAGAAAAATCACGTTCCCTTTTTTTCCCCAAGACAATATCCTCTAACGGTCATTGATGGTGTAAGTGGTGATGTTGTAAAAGGTCAAGTGTGTCACATTTGGTAAATTGAATCCATTCCATTTTCATTACCCCAGGTTAAGCAGTTAAGCTTTTTATTTGAGCTTAAATAAACTAACAAAGTTAGTCTACAGTGGTTCTCAAACTTTTTATACTCTGTAGCACCTGAGAAAACATTGAGCTCCCTGACTACCATCATGATGACCAACATTAGAATATAGCAGCATAGGCCTTCCCAATTAGCTTCCACCACATAGGAGAGATGCTTATAAAGATGTTTATGTCTAAATGTTTTATTAATTGTGCATGGTATGTTACAGATTTATTCAATTGAAAATGTGTAATACACTAAAACACTCTTTTCCTTTCTCAAATTAATTAGAAATGACTAACGTACTATTTCCTCCTCCAACTAAACCACACCTATGCTGTTGACGAACAACAGCGTCAAAATGTGGGAGATACTGTAGCATCACAGGAACTAAAGGTCATTCCTGATGTCATCCCAGTTGCCTAACTTTTTGAACCTATGAGAACTGTTAAATTGATGAGTCTACATTTCCACTGCGGTGAAGGATTTCTTTTGGTCAGCAAGTCAGACAAAAGCAACTCTTATAACAAACTGATATCTGCGTAAATACAGGAAAGCATGGCTGTTCCTGGGACTAACAGGTATGCACTGTCAAAAGCTGGGGGATTAAAGATATATTCTCAGAGACACATGACCAAACTGGTCAAAGAACTTATAAACCACATTATTCTTAGACAGCAAAAGTATTGGGCTTTGCATCAGCTGTGACGCACTGGGTGAAATGTTTCGGTCGGATTTTGGACTCTGTTGGCAACAAGAAAATGTCAAAAATAATCCCAATTTTACAAAAACGGAACAGAGCAGAGGGAAACAAACAAATAATTGCTTTTGTCATGAGAAAAAGTGAGCCTCGGTGTCTGGTATCTTTCCTTCACAAACCATGCCCTAGGCTGGTCGAGTGAAGGCTACACCACAGACTCCCACCCTCTGAATTCCCAGTGCTTGTACTGCATGAGCCCAGAGAACCACATCCTGAGGAGAGGAACGCAATCGACGGCAATGCCTCCTTGAACTGGAAAATTTGGTTACACAATCTGAACTTTTCACTGACGACTATGTTGCTCCACTAAAAATATTACAATTGCTGCTTTCATTGGAAGCCAAACTGCAGAGAGTGCAGAGACATTTCAAAGGGAAACAATAGCAAAAGCAGCAAAGAAAAACAGTGGGTTAGTGATCATGGGATGTGATGGGAGAGTCCTGTGTCTGCCCTTGATGTCAGTGCCAAGGTGAGAGGCTCCACTACAATTTCCCAGAATGCTCTGGGGAGTTTGGGATTGAAACCCCCAAAACACTGTAAGGAGACCAGAGTGATAAAGTGTTTTTGCAGTCTTCCTGAACCATAGCTGACATGATGTGAAATGGACAATATTATCAGTGTGTCATATATTACATCAAGGATAAACTGTAATCAACCTGAGATCAATAAAGTACATCTATCTATCTAACTGATTATTTACATTTTCAGTGAAAAAATGTTAAGAAAATGGCAATAATGATTAAATGTTATATCCTGAGGCACAATGTCTAAAACTAAGACTTATTATTATCTTATTATCTTGCAAAATGACATTGTCTATATTTCCTTGTCTTCCCAAATTAAGGTGTCACGTGTGAGATTGACCCCCAAACAACTGTGGCAAAAAAGCAAACTCTGGGAGCAGAGGTTGACATTGCAGCTCTAGACCTCAGCTCCAGTCAAGTCCATGGAAGACCATCAGCACCAACACAGGGGGAGACGTGTTTGGCTGCAGCCCCCTATAATAACACTCAAACCCATTCAGAACATTTTGCCAGTCAAATGGAAGAGGAAATGGAGGAGCATAAACAGCACTCACCGCGGCCGCGCTCGGGTTTCCATGGTGTGCTGTGGCATCCTCTGGACAGCTCACACACACTACATATCGCTCAGGAAACACACGCAAGTCTGGAGCAGGCAAAGACAGAGGACAGACCATGCTACTTAGTGATGTCGTCTCAGCACTGATTATAAATGAAACCCGGGGATTTTGTGGTGCAGCTTGAATTTACATCTTCATGCACCAAGAATTTACCATCCCTCGGACAAGAGAGATAAAAAAGCTGTAATAGCTGCTGACATTTAAGAGAACGGAATATGAGAAAAGATTATAATAATAGCTGCTTGGATTTCCTCAAAAAGTTTGAATGGAAATGTTATTTACAGTAATAAAAGTATTTGTCCATTTGAAATGAAGCCTATTTATATATCAACTCTACTGGACCGCCTTTATGATTCCTGTGGTCATATATTCTGCATGCTCCAAATTATTGAAACATATATGAAAAAGGACATATTTAGGGCATATTTTTAGGCAAATTAGTCTATTTTTATTCTTTCTATTACTTTTTCGAGGAAAGACATTTCCAGAAAGCCATTATTATAGTATGTTACATTTGATGAATGGTTGACAAATTTGATTAAATAAAAAACTTTTATATAACATTTATTTTAAATTCCTCCACTTATTATAACTGTGAACTATAGTAGTATAATTCTCCTGCCATTTATGAGATTACATTATCCTGTCAAAAAAGACCACTAATCTTATTTAACCAAAGTAGATTTGATTTAGTTTGAACTATAACAAACAGGCGAAGAAAACCTGTCATTTCAGTCCGCAGCTAGTCAGCATTTCTTCAACATCCCAGGCCTTTGGGGAACAGATATTAACTTAACTGACAGGAAGAGAACTATGTTGGTCCCATGAAAAGGTGGCCAGGGTTCACTAGCACTAGATGGTCCATGGAGATAGACTGTCATGCCATCTAAAGGCAGCCATCCAATCTTTTTCTCTCTCCCACTCTTAGTGAGCTCTCAAGGGGACAGCTTAATGGCTGCCTGTTCTCAACAACACCCAGAGCAGGTACAGACAAGACATAAAAACAAGTGAGGGGGAGAAAAATCAACACACTGACCACAGATGATTTGCTCTTTCTGTGGGAAATGAGGCTGAGCCGTTGAAACCGAGTCCATTTCTGAATCATTTAACTGGGAATTGATTGTTAAATGTTGCGTACCTCCGTAGTGCTGTTTGACAACGCATCTCAAGTTGAAGTGCCGCTTCAGGAAATTGGCAATGAGGTTGAATGTCTTCCCTGGAGTAAAAATAACAAAAAAAACATAGGCAAAATTATAAAAACGTTTTTATGGCTACATTTTCTAAGGCTATAAAAATATTGGCACACACTGATATTACACTGAAGTTGTTTAAATTTTAATAAGATCATGACTTTAAAGTCAATGTTCTGAGCAGAAGCACTGGACTGTTGGCTGATCTAGAGACTTGTTCACTAAAAGCAAAGGTCACGCCATGACTGAAAATAAGTCAAACCTTGCTTACACTTTCATATACTTTGTACATAACACTAATGTTTTGTACGCCACTTTTCTCATGAGGCTCTTTGTACCCGTTTGCGTGTGAAAAACCTTTAAGATGTTAGAACGTTAGCATTTTAATTTCAATTAAAAGATTATCTCCTCCAGTGTTAATGGTGCCTGACCTCTTGCTACCATAACTCGTCTGGAGTTCTCTGGATAATGTCAACCTCAAAGCCAAAATTGGACTAGTCTCATTTTTGAAATGCTGACATTTTGGGAGACAGCAGCTCCCTACCTTCAATTGACAAGCCTGGAGGGTTTACTTCATTTAAAAGGTCCAGAAGAAAAAGGCTTTCCTAAATCCATACCTGCAATAGGGGTGGTGCACACAAGATAGCAACACTTGTATGAAGGCAGCCCTGTGCACACTTTAACACCAAGATCTCCAAAGACCATTTTATTATTGTCCACAAAAGGGAGTCGTGCTGTGATTCTCTGGATAATGACGTGGAATTACAGAGATAGTTGCAACAAAAGGGCCACAGGTGTGCAGTTAAGTCCACTCGCTGTGAGTAATGGCAGCCACCACTGCTTTTTTTTTTTTCCTTTTAGCATGTGGCTGGACTTTCCAGCAGCCCACCACTCAGTGTAAACCATAAAGCAGAAGAAAAAACAAAAACATTAAACAAATACTAATAAGAAATAATGTTTCTTCATAATTCTACTCTCCATTTTTTGTTTCACATTTTTAATTACCACTTAAGCACCCACTTATATAAGATCAACATTTTACCCTGGTCACAGGCCATTGTACCAGGTAATTAAACACCTGTGGGAAGAAATCTGGTAGCAAAGACTGTAACGGCTTTAACAAGATTTGATGACATACGTTAAAATAAATAAATAATTAAAAACACAATGAAACAGAACAATAGGAAGTTTCTTATCTGAGCAAAGCAGAACTTATGAAGAACAAACCCTAATGAGACTTGGAACAAAAACTTTAACAAAAACAGGGCTTGTTTGTGTGCTTTGTGTACCTGGGACAGCAACTGAAAACATATGTGAAGGCAGAACAAAAGAGGAGCTTGATGATCTGTACTGTGATTACCATTCCCTGCCTTGCAACTGAGGCAGCATGTGACATTTAACAAACAAGGGAAAAAACGTTAATCATTTGATTGTCTTGTCAAACTTGGCCCAAGGTAACACTGTAAATCCCGAAAAAGAGGGATAATATATTTACTGTTTGGAAACACATGACGGTTTTCTTAAGTTCTTCATCTAAAAGTGTACTTGTAAGAAGGGAATTCTAAGAATATAGTGAAAAATCTCAGGTTTCAACTTGTGTTAGAATTACAGTAATCTGAGAGAAAACCCTTCCAAGACCGTTTCACCTGAGGGTTATTTGTTACAATTACTGGCCTGTACACTAAGGCTTACAGTACAGAAGATGGTTGATTGGTTGGTGAGAGAATAAATACAGTGATTAAATACAGTAAATAGAGTTAGGCCCAGTCAACACCATCCCTCATGTTTAAATAATGATAGTGAAGAAAAATCTAATTCTAGCACATGTGTAAAAGATGCATAAAATAATTATTTAAAATACGTAAATATGTATGTATTTAAAATATATTTATAAATGTATATATGTAAAATAAATATGAAAATATACAGTATATATATTAATATTTATAAACATACACAAAACATAGATAGATGGATGGATGGATGGATGGATGGATAGAATCTATCAAAGAATTATTTTGATAAAACAACAAGCCAAGGGAAGAATGATGCTATAGTTGGAGAACACGCTGCAGATTGACTTTGTTGAAAAAAAATGTCATTCGTCTGGCAATTCTTCAAATAGTAAGGGACTCAACACCCATCAGTCATTCTGGATGTCTACCTAGAGAGGAATGCAGATCTGTATCTTGGTTTTGTTTACTTTTCTTTTTTAAAGTTGAGAGATTGGACATCTTTCAATACAGTCTCTTGAGATTGGCCTTTTTTTAGATGCTCTGATTTGGTTAAATTGACTCTGTGCTTCATGTCTAACTCTAAAACTATTTGCAATGTTTTCCCTGTAGACTTCTGCCTGCCAATTCCCAGTGCAGCTTTAACAGGGATGTCTGGATACAGAGTTGGGAACCTGTGCAGCGCCACAGACCGAGACATCAGCTGTTGCCCCAACTTTATAACATTTTGCACTATGCATATTTGCTCTTGGCCAACTGCCTGGGTTCTCCCATGTTACATTTACATTCATGTTTCTCTCTAGCTGGTTTGCTGCTGCATCCTTGGGAAGAACTGAGCCTTTGCTGTGGCAACAGTGGCTAACACTGGTGCGGTACCAGATCTAAAACATTCAGACTTCAAAGGCGTTCATTTGTACTTCTCATAAGAGAAGATGGCTCTATTGAATGGCTTTGAAACCCAACGCACAACAATATTATGACAGGTCGGATCAAACAATAAACAAGCTAGCTCGGCATGTTTTCAAAAATGTGGGAGATAATATTGTAACCACTTGTATTGCAAGACTTTGACCATCTTGTAATATACCGCAGGACAATTGCAGAAACAAGACAGACTCCACTAGGCTGGTGCCAGGACTAGAATACTGTAATTTTGAGATGCACATTCACATGCCTGCAGTTTTCACCACTTCCTGGAAAAACAATGAAAGGAAAGAAAAGTCAACAAAACCAAAAGGCATCCAGAGTGGCAATGATCATACTCACTCATTCACTCACTCGCATCACACACTTTTTTTTCTTCTTACATTCTGACACCTCTGATGTTGTAACCCCTGCATCTGTTTAACTGTAGTTCATTTTCTTGGGGTATATTTAAACAAATAGAAAAATAATAGAAAAACCTCAGGGAGTGGACTCTCTGGGTGCATTTACATACCATATTGTTGGCATGTCAACTTGAACTTTGAGCAGTAACCTGATTTAAGACACATGAAATCAGATTTCTACTTCAGGCCTTTTATCTATAATAAAAAAAAATGTTTACAAATTTATGCTGGAGGAAAGCTGTTTTCTTATGAGAGTGGATACGTATGACAATAGTTTAGATGCATAAGGAAAGAAGTAAAATTGTGGCAAGAGTTTCAACCAAACCAGGGAAGGATTATAACTTACAGAACAGTACATTTGTATTGAAAAATAATTAAATTCAAATCCTGGCTAAAGTATAAACAGCAGTAAACAAGACTAAACAAGACACAGATGAAAAAAAAAGATTTTTCTTTTTTCTTTAAATAAAAATCAACTTTGGTACAATAACGAAAAAATGGAATGGCTCTTGGAGTCAGTCACTCAGTCCAAATGTTTCTGCCAAAAAATATGAAAAAAAGTCCCTTTAGGCTGCTGTATTATATATCATTACAACAGATGAATTATGCCAGTGCAGGTCTAGAAACATGGCAGGAAATTGAGGAGAGAGATTTGATTACCCAGCAGCTGCATTTAAAGGCAGACTTTACAATAAAGTGGTTACTGCAGCGCATGTAAAGCTATTCCCTGATTTTCACCATTTTTCTGGTTTAAGAGGAAGAGAGGTTACTGTGCATCAGATGAACTGCAATTCCCACGTGAACCCCTATATGAACAGAAGTTTGAATCAGCAGGACCGTCAGACATCAGTGCCTGGGACTGCTGCTCTTTTGACATCCCTACTTTGATGTAGACCCCCTCCCTGTGTCCTAAAGTGTGGGTGGAGAGATGGGGCTAAAAGTGAGTGCTAGAGAGAAAAAGACAGAGAGAGAGAGAGAGAAAGAGAGAGAGAGTAAGGTGAAGTGGAGAAGGATAAGAAACCCTGAGGAAGTTGCCCAAATGTAAGTGGGGGCTTTCCTGGAAGGACATCATTCTCTGTGTGTAACTGTAACTACAGCAATAGCAGAGCACTGTGTCTTATCATCCTGCACAACGTCCACCTGAAACAATATTTACACATCAGTGTTCAATTTAACATTTGGGTGACCCCTTCATCACAGTTACAAAATACGCCGCAGCATGGTAGCTCAGGCCAACCCATAATGCAGCATGTGACTACATTGGTGGGGAGCATTTTGGAGGACAGAAAAAAAATTCTGTTTCTCAGAAATCCGATCTGATGAGAGAAAATTGGTCGTAATACAAATGCTATATTCTATCATCTTTAAATCTTAATTATCCCGAAAGACCACAATTGGCTCAACGGCTGCCGCTATTTATATACAAGACCACTGATAGTAAAATGAGGGTTTAAAGTGCTTATACTCCATTACGATCCACTGGGTTGACAGTAGAGTTAATACAGCTTTTTAAAACTCATAAAATACATTTCCAGAAATGTTGCTACACCTTGTAAAAAGAAAACTTGAAATCTCATTAATCAACTAAAAAGACAATTTAAGTGTTAGAGAAGTCATCTGTAAATAACAAACACCTTTTAACCTCAAAGCTAACCTCCATCCATTAAGGTTAGCATGGAGGAAGGTTTACCACAGGGTGATAGGTTTTGTCTTTTAATATCACTTAAATGTCGTCTGGCAACAGAGCAAATTGTTGCAGTTTTATAAATGGCATTTTTCCCGTTCCGGCTCTATTGAGGACAGCAGCTGCTAAACATTTGGAGATGGTGGTGTCTTATTCTTCTCTTTGTGATTGGCCACCCAATTTCATGTGGTCTTCAGGCAGACCAGTAGAGCACACTGTATCTTCTCTGGGCCAAGGTTTGGAAATGAAAAGAATGATGCCTGGCACTGCAATGCTGTGAG